CTTAGTTTTTTTTTTTTTGGAAACATAAAGTGTTACTAATTAGTTTTTGACAGCAATCGATCAAATTTTTATATTTCTTTTCATATTTAGTGCAGAAAAGTTTTTCATACGTAAGGAAATTTTTGACTAATGAAGTTATAATTTGGTGTAAAATTTTCAAACAATACAAGTATGTAATACTTTTAATTTTGGGAAAAGAAGGCGAGCACAAAATTTTAAATTGAAAGATTTTACTAACATATGCTGTTGTTTCAAAATAAAAATATAACGCAATTAATTTTTTTAAAATCAAGAATAATTTGATGTACAGCAATGGACATCTTATAAGTTTATTACTTAAAAAGTCTTTTTATAATCGCTTTCAAAAAAAAAAAAAAAAAAAAAAAAAAACGTTATAATTTCACCCAAAATCCCATAGAAATGTTTCCGGGAATATTGTTTGAACACTAATAAATATGAAGATATTGCTGAAATTATGATAACATTTTTGTGATAATAAATTTTTCATATCTAGAATGAATTTTGTAAGTCTAGTGTGTATTACAGTTTATAGTCTAGTCTATAGTCTAGTTTATAGTCTAGTATATGGTTTAGTTTATACTTTAGTTCATGGTCTAGTCAATAGTCTAGTTCACAGTTTAGTCTATAGTCAAGTCTATAGTCTAGTCTATATTCTAGTCTATAGTCTAGTTTATAGTCTAGTATATGGTCTAGGCAGCGCTCTAGTCTATATTCTAGTTCATAACATAGTCCATAATCTAATCTATAACTAGTCTATAGTCTATAGTTCAGTCCTTAGTAGTCTGTAGTCTAGTCTCTTGTTTAGTCAATAGTTTAGTGTATATTCTAGTAAATATATTGCTCGGTAGTCTAGTCTATAGTTTAATATGTAGCCTAGTGTTCATGCTAGTCTATAATCTACAGCCTAGTCCATATTCTAGTATATAATCTAGTTTATAGTCTAGTCTACAGTTTAGTCAATAGACTAGTCAACTATCTAGTATATAGTCTAGCCTATAGTTTAGGCCATAGTCTAGGCCATACTCTAGTTCTTAATTTCACCTATACCATATAGAAATGTCCCCCGTGAATATTCATATTTAGAATGAATTTTGTAATAAATAGTATGAATCGAACATGACTAATCTAGTTACTATAGTCTAGTTTATAGCCTACTATATGGTTTAGTCAGCAATCTAGTCTATAGTCTAGTTTATAGTCTACCTATCATTTAGTCTAGAGTCTAGAGTCTATAGTCAAGGTTATAGTCTAGTCTATAGTATAGTCTAGTCTTTAGTCTAGTCTATAGTTTATTTATATTATATTCTATATTCCAGTTTATAGTTTAGTATATGGTGTAGTCTGCAATCTAGTCTATAGTCTAGTTCAGAATCTAGTCTATAATCTAGCCTATAGTCTAGTCTATAGTCTAGTTCATAGTCTAGTATATAGTTAGTATATAGTAGTCTATACTGTAGTCTGTAGTCTAGTCACTTGTTTAGTTTATAGTCTATTCAATAGTTTAGTCTATATTCAAGTAAATATTTTGGTCTGTAGTCTAGTCTATAGTTTAATCTTAGCCTAGTCTTCGGGCGAGTCTATAGTCTAGTATACATTCTAGTCTATATTCTAGTGTATAATCTAGTCTATAATATATTATATGTTCTAGTAAACAGTCTAGTCAATGGACTGATCAACAGTCTACCCTATAGTCTAGGCCATAGTCTAAGCCGTACTCTAGTTCATAGTCCAGTCTATAGATTAGTAAATAGTAGTCTATACTGTAGTCTAGTCTATAAACTAATCTTTTGTCTAGTCTTTAGTGTAGTCTATAGCCAAGACTGTAGTCTATTCTCTAGTCTAGTCTACAGCCTAGTCAATAGTTTACGCAGTAGTTTAGGCTAGTCTAGACTATATAGTCTAGTTTATAGACTAATCCGTAGTCTAATCTAAGTCTAGTTTGTAGTTTAGTTTAAAGTTTAGTCTATAGTTTAGTTTATCATCTAGTCTAGATTATAGTCATAGTCACATAGGACTATTTTGGTATGTTTTTGGAAATAACTAGATGCAAAACTGAATGGATACTAACAGTAATTTCGGAACATATATTATATATATGCTATATATTTTTTTGTACTACAGATTTCTATAATTCATTCCGCACATCTTCCAAATGAGGCTAATAACTTAAAGAAAGTCCAAATATACATATTAGCTTTATTTCCTCGTTTTAAGTCTTTCACCTATCTTAAAGTGGAATATATGGAAATATCCTTTTTTCTCTTCATATCCTGTTTAACATACATATAATGTCTGTGTTAAAGGTAATGTATAATTTGTATATTTAATTCTAAAATACAATTTATTTATATAAATACAATCTAATATTATAAAATATGCAAATTATATTGTTATTTAGAGTTTATTTCTTTTTCATAATACAACAAAACCACATAAAATAAACACTTTTAAACAAAACCAACAATATTTTATACATAGATTCACATAAATATATAAAATTTACTTTGTATTTATATAACGATATAAAATTTTTCCTTTATAGAGACTGCGCATTTATGTCTGGGGTGTTAACATTAAAAGTTCTTTTATTTTCCTTTTTATTTTACAAATATCTCTGTATGTAGGTATGTATGTATGTGTATAAACACTCAATATTTTTTGTTCCTTTTATAATCTCAAGTTGCGTATCCTTGTTACTATAAGCTTTTTGTATGATTTATAATAATGAGTGCTTTCGTTCTTTTATATTTTCTACTCATAAGATGTTGCTTTTTGTTAATAATGAGTGAGTAAAAATTTTGAAGTAGTTACCGTCGGTATTTTTTAGTTGTAAAAAGTTCGCATTTCTTTTATTTAAATCCTATAATTGTGGTTGTGCTAAAACAGGGTATTGTTTCCTTTGTTATTTTCTGTTAGTGGCATTCATTTTATTATTTTAGCACAATGGGCGGAGTTTTTTTCGTTTTTTATTTTTGTGATTTTTTCTATTGTTGTTTTTCGAAAAAAGTTGATTTTTTATATGGAATTTTTTCTTGTTTTTTTGTTTCCTTTATAAAATAAAACAATTTGAAATAAATAATTTTTTATTTGAAATTTTGTCGAAAGATTATTTATTTATCATCATACTTTGTGTCAGTGGCAGCATCACTTAAAGCTGGCTAATATGTTTGGTAAGTTCATCAGAAAGGTCAGAGGTAAAGTAGGGCTATAAACTGTAATTCGGAGTAATAAGTCATATACATATACAAAGACTATGATCCGTATTTATCAATGCTTAATACGGTTAATGATGGATTATTTTTAGAATTTTGCCTATTGTCTATTCTACAGTCTTTCTATAGTCCAGTCTATGGTCTAGTCGATAGTCCAGTCTATGGTCTAGTCTATAGTCTGGTATAGATTTCAGCCCATAGCCTATTATATAGTCTAGTCTATAGTCTAGTCTACAGTCTAGTCTATAGTCTAGTCTATAGTCTAGTCTATAGTCTAGTCTATAGTCTAGTCTATAGTCTAGTCTATAGTCTAGTCTATAGTCTAGTCTATAGTCTAGTCTATAGTCTAGTCTATAGTCTAGTCTATAGTCTAGTCTATAGTCTAGTCTATAGTCTAGTCTATAGTCTAGTCTATAGTCTAGTCTATAGTCTAGTCTATAGTCTAGTCTATAGTCTAGTCTATAGTCTAGTCTATAGTCTAGTCTATAGTCTAGTCTATAGTCTAGTCTATAGTCTAGTCTATAGTCTAGTCTATAGTCTAGTCTATAGTCTAGTCTATAGTCTAGTCTATAGTCTAGTCTATAGTCTAGTCTATAGTCTAGTCTATAGTCTAGTCTATAGTCTAGTCTATAGTCTAGTCTATAGTCTAGTCTATAGTCTAGTCTATAGTCTAGTCTATAGTCTAGTCTATAGTCTAGTCTATAGTCTAGTCTATAGTCTAGTCTATAGTCTAATCTATAGTCTAGTCTATAGTATAGTCTATAGTATAGTCTCTAGTCTATAGTCTAGTCTATAGTCTATTCTATAGTCTAGTCTATAGTGTAGTCTATAGTCTATTCTATAGTCTAGTCTATAGTCTAGTCTATAGTCTAGTCTATAGTCTAGTCTATAGTCTAGTCTATAGTCTAGTCTATGGTCTAGTCTATAGTCTAGTCTATAGTCTAGTCTATAGTCTAGTCTATAGTCTAGTCTATAGTCTAGTCTATAGTCTAGTCTATAGTCTAGTCTATAGTCTAGTCTATAGTCTAGTCTATAGTCTAGTCTATAGTCTAGTCTATAGTCTAGTCTATAGTCTAGTCTATAGTCTAGTCTATAGTCTAGTCTATAGTCTAGTCTATAGTCTAGTCTTGTCTATAGTCTAGTCTATAGTCTAGTCTATAGTCTAGTCTATAGTCTAGTCTATAGTCTAGTCTATAGTCTAGTCTAGTTTCTATAGTCTAGTCTATAGTCTAGTCTAGTCTATAGTCTAGTCTATAGTCTAGTCTATAGTCTAGTCTATAGTCTAGTCTATGTCCAGTCTATAGTCTAGTCTATTGTCTAGTCTATAGTCTAGTCTATAGTCTAGTCTATAGTCTAGTCTATAGTCTAGTCTATAGTCTAGTCTATAGTCTAGTCTATAGTCTAGTCTATAGTCTAGTCTATAGTCTAGTCTATAGTCTAGTCTATAGGCCAGTCTATAGTCTAGTCTATAGTCTAGTCTATAGTCTAGTCTATAGTCTAGCCTATAGTCTAGTCTATAGTCTAGCCAGTAGTTTAATCCGCTAACAATTTTTTTGATTTTGAAAAGATTACTCTCTTCACTCTCTTTTGAGAAACTATCTCGGTCAAATAATTAATATGTTAAATGAGTTTCAGATTTTTATTTTAAAATTTTAATTGGTAACTGGACCAAAATTGGACTATTAGCAACCCAAATCTTGTTACTATTCAAATTATAATTTTATTTAATAAAGAAAAAATTTTTTCAAAATGTTTTTCAAATCTTACCTGAGAATCTTTTAGACCCAAGCGTTCTGCCAACTTTTTGCGATCCGGTTTACTGATGTACTTCTGCTGTTGAAAGCGTTTCTCCAAACCCTTACGCTGGGAGTCTATAAACACAATAAACAAGAAATAAATCAATATTTTTCTCCTACCAAAAGATTCTTATAAAAATTATGAAGACTGCAACCATGCAGTACGACTGAAAAATACTCGTAAATTTAAACCTAAACCACAACATAAATTAAGAAAATAAATATTTTCACACTTACCAGAAAACACCGCACGACGCATCATACCCCTACGTGGTTTACCACGTGTTGAATGTGCCCAAGGGAAACCTTGGCCGGGAGGCAGGGGAAACACTTGTGCACCAACTGTTCAAAGAATACAAATAAAACGTGGGAAAATTTACAAATTTAGTTGCAATAGTAAAGAGTCTATGAGAGTAAATATGTGGGGATATATTGCGTACTATTGTAAATGCATTTTACACATAATTACAGTTGCATTTAAATGTTGCAGACACACAACTGCATTGGAATATTGCAGTGAGTTTGTGTTTTAATTGGTGTTGACAACAATTAATACAAGCCTGCTGAACATTTCCCTTTTAACTAAATTTTAGTTGAGAAGCACTACTAAAATGTTTATTTGTTCGGAAGCGGGTGTAATTTCTATTTGTGTTCAATGGACTGATGGACAGACAGACATACAGACAGACGGACATGTACTTACCACTCATGTAGGGATTTCTACAATGTGCCAACAATGAATGCAAATGTGGATGTTGGAGACTGTGAGGCAGGAATGGTGTTGGTCGACTGGGCAGGGGTTTTGCAATAACAGCTTGCGGATGTTGTGGTTGTTGTGCGTGTGTTAGATGAGCTCCTCCACCACCGACACCACCTCCACCACTACCAGGATGTTGTAAAGGCATTGTTGCTTTTTCTTGACCCGTTGGCATTGTATGTCTTCGATTATTGTTATCCTCTTCATTGTTATCCTTGTCATTGTTATTATTTGCATGTGTATTGTTGTTGTTATTGGAATGGTTGTTGCCATTATTACAACTTGTATTTGTGCTGATGCTATTTGTGGTGCAGGTAGAGTGATTGTCGCTATCACTAATCGTACTGCCAGGTGACGACGATGATGTGGTTTGCGGTTGACAACTATTGCCATTGTGATGCTGTTGCGTTAGAAATGCTGGATGCGGAAAGTGTGGATGGTGTATGAAGTTTTGTTGTAAATAAGGCCAGATATGTTGTGGTTGCATAAATTCTACAAAAAATAAACAATAACAATAGAAGTCATAATTATTAATATGTAGGTGTTTAAGCAAAATATGAATAGATATTATAACAAATAAGTTAGTGTAGTCGGTTATGGCCCATCAAATGACACCCTACTTCATATATGAAAGTATAATATGATTCGAAAGGTGTATTTTAATAGAACTTCTTAAAGTTAAGGTATGGCTTAATTATGCGCTGAACTCATGAAGTCTTTATAGGCGGCTAGGGCCAAACTGAAACGATCCTCATAATAATAGAAAATTTTCTATAGTAAAAATATTTATCGAAAATTTTCTCTAAAGAATAAAATCAATTGGAAACTTAATGAAAATTTTCCATTAAAAATATTTTTTTTTTTGAAAAAGAAAATTTATAAAAAATTTTCTATAGAAAGAACAATTTACCAGAAAAATGTAAAATAAAATGTATAGCAAATTTAATGAAAATTAAATTTTTTAGAAAAGAATGACTACAAATTTTCTATAAAAAATATTTTTTAAAGAGAACTTATCGAAAATTTAATGGAAATTTTCTTTAAAAAGTTAAATTAATTTAAAAATTTTCTTTGAAACGGAAATTTTATTTTCAATGGAAAGATATTTTTTATATTTTCTATAGAAAAGAAAATTTTTTATTGAAAGGAACATTTATTAAAAGTTAGTTAGTTAGTTAGTTAGTTCGTTAGTTAGTTAGTTAGTTAGTTAGTTAGGTAGTTAGTTAGTTAGTTAGTTAGTTAGTTAGTTAGCTAGTTAGTTAGTTAGTTAGTTTAGTTAGTTAGTTAGTTAGTTAGTTCGTTAGTTAGTTAGTTAGTTAGTTAGTTAGTTTTAGTTAGTTAGGTAGTTAGTTAGTTTTAGTTAGTTAGTTAGTTAGTTAGTTAGTTAGTTAGTTAGTTAGTTAGTTAGTTAGTTAGTTAGTTAGTTTTAGTTAGTTAGGTAGTTAGTTAGTTAGTTAGTTAGTTAGTTAGGTAGTTAGTTAGTTAGTTAGTTAGTTAGTTAGTTAGTTAGTTAGTTAGTTAGTTAGTTAGTTAGTTAGTTAGTTAGTTAGTTAGTTAGTTAGTTAGTTAGTTAGTTAGTTAGTTAGTTAGTAGTTAGTTAGTTAGTAGTTAGTTAGTTAGTTAGTTAGCTAGTTAGTTAGTTAGTTAGTTAGTTAGTTAGTTAGTTAGTTAGTTAGTTCGTTAGTTAGTTAGTTGTTAGTTAGTTAGTTAGTTAGTTAGTAGTAGGTAGTTAGTTAGTTAGTTAGTTAGTTAGTTAGTTAGTAGTTAGTTAGTAGTTTAGTTAGTTAGTTAGTAGTAGTTAGTTAGTTAGTTAGTAGTTAGTTAGTTAGTTAGTTTAGTTAGTTAGTTAGTTAGTTAGTTAGTGTTAGTTAGTTAGTTAGTTAGTTAGTTAGTTAGTTAGTTAGTTAGTTAGTTAGTTAGTTAGTTAGTTAGTTAGTTAGTTAGTTAGTTAGTTAGTTAGTAGTTAGTAGTTAGTTAGTTAGTTAGTTAGTTAGGTTAGTTAGTTAGTTAGTAGTTTAGTTAGTTAGTTAGTAGTTAGTTAGTTAGTTAGTTGTTAGTTAGTTAGTTAGTAGTTAGTTAGTTAGTTAGTTAAGTTAGTTAGTTAGTTAGTTAGTTAGTTAGTTAGTTAGTGTTAGTTAGTTAGTAGTTAGTTAGTTAGTTAGTTAGTTAGTTAGTTAGTTAGTTAGTTAGTAGTTAGTTAGTAGTTAGTTAGTTAGTTAGTTAGTCTGTTAGTTAGTTAGTAGTTAGTAGTTAGTTAGTTAGTTAGTTAGTTAGTTAGTTAGTTAGTTAGTTAGTTTAGTTAGTTAGTTAGTTAGTTAGTTAGTTAGTTAGTAGTTAGTAGTTAGTTAGTTAGTTAGTTAGTTAGTTAGTTAGTTAGTTAGTTAGTTAGTTAGTTAGTTAGTTTAGTTAGTTAGTTAGTTAGTTAGTTAGTTAGTTAGTTAGTTCGTAGTTAGTTAGTTAGTTAGTTAGTTAGTTAGTTAGTTAGTTAGTAGTTAGTTAGTTAGTTAGTTAGTTAGTTAGTAGTTAGTAGTTAGTTAGTTAGTTAGTTTAGTTAGTTAGTTAGTTAGTTAGTTAGTTAGTTAGTTAGTTAGTTAGTTAGTTAGTTAGTTAGTTAGTTAGTTAGTTAGTTAGTTAGTTAGTTAGTTAGTTAGTTAGTTAGTTAGTTAGTTAGTTAGTTAGTTAGTTAGTTAGTTAGTTAGTTAGTTAGTTAGTAGTTAGTTAGTTAGTTAGTTAGTTAGTTAGTTAGTAGTTAGTTAGTTAGTTAGTTAGTTAGTTAGTAGTTAGTTAGTTAGTTAGTTAGTTAGTTAGTTAGTTAGTAGTTAGTTAGTAGTTAGTTAGTTAGTTAGTTAGTTAGTTAGTTAGTTAGTTAGTTAGTTAGTTAGTTAGTTAGTTAGTTAGTTAGTAGTTAGCTAGCTAGTTAGTTAGTTAGTTAGTTAGTTACAACATATCTTTAATTACAAATTCTTAAAAACCTAAAATTTATTGAGATTTCACTTTTGGACGAATTCAGATGTCGTCGAGTTTTAAAATTTGCTGCCTGGCAACTTTTAGCTAAGCCATCTTAATTTAAAAATTTCTTCAACTATCTTCAACCACAGACATTTCTGCTTAATTTTGAATTTCCCATTTACATTTTCTTTTAATGAGTGAGTGAACACAAACATTACGAAGTGGAATATTCAACACTTTGAAGTGTCAAAGATTCACAATCATATGCATAATTATGAAAATTTTCAAAACAATTCAAACAATAAAACTTGACAGCATAAGATGGGAAATTTTTAAAAGCCAACATTTGCACATATTATTGCTCCTACTCTCCCACCTATACACACACGCACTTCTGCAGACAAAAATTTTAATTATTTTATTGCTTTGATGTTAGAAGTTTAGCTTCCGGCGGATATAAGCACCTTGTGTTTGTTTAAGAAAAGAAAAAACAAAAAACTTTTGTTTAAAAAAGCAACAACAAAGACTTTTAAAACTAACACATACTAAAACACGTTTAATTAATTATACATAAATACTTAGAAATATGTATATTTAAGGATACATATATGTAGATATGTACATAACCTTGTGTTAGTTTAATTTAAGGTATTTTATTCCTATTGTTTGTCTTTGCATGGTAGCTAAACTTGATTTTATAATTATAATAAACGAAAAGGAAAAGTTTTTCAAAATAATTTCACACACACTTACTACACATCCTTCTTAATACAAACGCACTCAAACAAAAACCACATTTTTCCACTCATATGCAGACGTATGGAATTAATTTGTATTATTTTGTGTAGAATTATGGATAAGGATGTTTATATGTATTATATAAGGATGTATGTATGTTAAATTACCTATGGCTTTGTTTCGAAAAATTTCTTTACTAGTCTACAGTTTTAAAGGTTTTGTAAATTTTGTGTTCATTTTGCCAAGTGTTTTTTGTTATGATTTTAATTCGATTAGACAGAAACAATTAACATATTAACGCCTCTTTAGTTATAATGATTTTATAGTTGGTTGAAGCTTTTAGAATAGGACGGCGCCATTTTGTGGGGTGCCAAAAGAAAATTATAGGTTCTCTTAATTTAAATAAAACTTTTGTTAAGAAACTCTCAAACTTGTACGTACTCCTTTTGATATTTTTAATGCTTTTTTATGAAATTTCGCTTATTAGTCCTGCTCCAGAAAAGGAAAATTGTCTAATTTTATTCAATATAACTGGTGATAAGTTTAAACCCAATTGGATTGTGAAAATTCGTGTACAAATTATCACAGAATTGTTTAACATTTAACACTTTTTCCGTTTTACCCTAAAGTTAAGAAATAGTTTTTATATTCTACGAAATTGTATAAAATATCTATAAAATAAGATATAAAACACTAAAATCGAATCAGAATATCATCGGAAATCGACCTTCAAGATTCCAGTCAAAAGATCGATCTGTCAGGTATGTAGAGCGAGTGACACTACTGGTTTCTTAAATCGAGAATACGAGCGAAAATATAACAATGAGAGAAGAGACAAATAGTCAAAGTGATTTTACCATAGTAGTACCCTTGCGCTCTAAAGTAAATCAGGATCCTTTTTTTAATCCAGCTCAATAATGGCCTCGACAAAAGAGGTAAACATCAGCAACAGGAATCCGAAATACGAATAAATCAAATAAGCTGAGGACTTGTTCTTACTCAGAGAGAACACATTGTGATAAATCTGGTATGAAGAGAGTAAACCCTGAACATACCTGGACTAAGAAGAAAAACAATATCCGATACATTCACTCTAGACATACGGGTGGGTAAGTTCCGTATACCGCTACATTCATCTTACGATACTGGATGAATGTAGTCCCACAATCACTCTTCTGTGGGGTATCTGTTGACTTCGGCAACAGCACCGAACTTATCCCGAAATTTAGATTTCACCGTGCATCAAGTCACGGACATTCTCTTTCCGCGAATTTGGTTTTAAACCACAGGCACTACGTGGGGGGTATCTGTTGACTTCGGCAACAGCACCGAACTTATCCCGAAATTTAGATTTCACCGTGCATCAAGTCACGGACATTCTCTTTCCGCGAATTTGGTTTTAAACCACAGGCACTACGTGTGTCCCGAACGAACCTTAACCAACTGACCAGCCAGTCCTTAACCAACCGACCACAAAGTCCTACGGGCAACTTACCACCCGTAGTAACATATTATGAGGTTCTTTGGTTCGACTCCATGTCAAATCATTCTAAGAAAAGGCCGAGGATACATTTTGATCATCACCAGATTATAGGTAGCAGCCCTTTTCCCCGTAATTGCAATCACACTAAGATGGGTTTTTTCATCAGCCTCCGGAGGAGTTTTCTGTGCGGAAACACTACCTAACTTATCCCGAATTATAGACTTTACCGTGCATCAGTCTCTTAACCAACATTCTCTTCCCGCAAATTTGGATTTAAACCACAGCTGCCACGTGCACCCAGAAAGCACCACTCCAATAACCG